CTACTACTACTACTACTACTACTACTACTACTACTACTACTACTACTACTACTACTACTACTACTACTACTACTACTACTACTACTACTACTACTACTACTACTACTACTACTACTACTACTACTACTACTACTACTACTACTACTACTACTACTACTACTACTACTACTACTACTACTACTACTACTACTACTACTACTACTACTACTACTACTACTACTACTACTACTACTACTACTACTACTACTACTACTACTACTACTACTACTACTACTACTACTACTACTACTACTACTACTACTACTACTACTACTACTACCACTACTACTACTACTACTACTACTACTACTACTACTACTACTACTACTACTACTACTACTACTACTACTACTACTACTACTACTACTACTACTACTACTACTACTACTACTACTACTACTACTACTACTACTACTACTACTACTACTACTACTACTACTACTACTACTACTACTACTACTACTACTACTACTACTACTACTACTACTACTACTACTACTACTACTACTACTACTACTACTACTACTACTACTACTACTACTACTACTACTACTACTACTACTACTACTACTACTACTACTACTACTACTACTACTACTACTACTACTACTACTACTACTACTACTACTACTACTACTACTACTACTACTACTACTACTACTACTACTACTACTACTACTACTACTACTACTACTACTACTACTACTACTACTACTATACTACTACTACTACTACTACTACTACTACTACTACTACTACTACTACTACTACTACTACTACTACTACTACTACTACACTACTACTACTACTACTACTACTACTACTACTACTACTACTACTACTACTACTACTACTACTACTACTACTACTACTACTACTACTACTACTACTACTACTACTACTACTACTACATCTACTACTACTACTACTACTACTACTACTACTACTACTACTACTACTACTACTACTACTACTACTACTACTACTACTACATCTACTAATACTACCACTACTACTACTACTACATCTACTACTACTACCACTACTACTACCACTACTACTACAACAACTACTACTACTACTACTACTACATCTACTAAGACTACCACTACCCCTACTACTACAACTACTAATACTACCACTACCCCTACTACTACAACTACTAATACTACCACTACCCCTACTACTACAAATAGTACTACTACTACTATTACAATAACTACTACTACAATTACACTACTTCTTCTACACTGCTACTACCCCTACTACAACCACTACTACCCCTGCTAGTACAACTACTAATACTACTACTACCACTACTACAGCAACAACAACAACTTCTACTACCACTACAACTAAACCTACTACTACTACTACTACTACTACTAAACCTACTACTACTACTACTACTACTACTACTACTACTAAACCTACTACTACTACTACTACTACTACTACTACTACTACTACCACTACTACTAAACCTACTACTACAACTACTACTACTAAACCTACTACCACCACCACACTACACTACTACTACTACTACTACTACTACTACTACTACTACTACTACTACTACTACTACTACTACTACTACTAATACTACCACTACCCCTATTACTACAACCACTACTACTATTATTACTACTACTGCTGCTGCTACTACTAATACTAACACTACCACTACCACAACTTTTACCCCTACTTCTCCAACTACTAATACTACTACCACTACTACTACTCCTACTATTACCACTACTCCTACAACTACGACAACAACAACAACTACTACTACTACTATTACTATTACTACTACCACTACTACTACTATTACTAGAAACTACTACACTAGAAAGATTTCAGTAGAATGAACTGCATTACTGTGTAACTACTGCTGCTACCTGAAAGAAGACTATTAGGAGTTAGGCTTCTGTGGCCTATAATAAATGGAGCCCTTAAAGTCTAATCACATTATCATAAAATATTGTCAACTTTATATTTTCTGACCTCAAAATGTTATAATGTTATGAACTTTGAGTTAATTTTGAGCTATTGTCCATTTCTGACATTCTTATTACTTCAAACCAGACTTCGGCGCAAATTTACGATGCTATTTTATTGCATTTTATACGTCTCTGTAAATAATTTTCTGTAGTAGCCCATTTTTTCAGCACATAAATCACGATCGCTTACAGATCTGACTCCATATCACGTCTCACCACCGCTCCGCTGTGGCGTTCCAAATTGGCAGCGGACGCTTTTGGCTCTTTTCGCGTCCAAAGTGCTACTGCAGACCGGGCCAGAACATTCCTCTTGGCTCGCATTACACGTCATTATCATTTATAAGGTGCGCCGTTTCATACTGTGCGCGTCCACACTGGGCTTTGTGTGCGCTCCGCTGGGCCGTGCGCATGCAGCGAGCGAGGCGTGTTTGCCGGGGTTGAAACGCAGCTGGCTGTAAAACACAAATTCCTGCTTAAGGTCAGGTCAGCCCCGTCTACCGCTGTGAGGCCAGAGGGTTTAACGCGGGGCTGTGGGAGTCGAGATGTCGTTATCAGTGATTATGTCGAGGATTTATCGCTCAGGGGTTACTAGAGATCTTTAAAAAACTTCTGTTCTGTTTCTTGGTCTTAGTTTTTTGTGTTGTTTAATGCCGTACTGTGGAACATTCCTTGAAAAGCAATAAGGATGATGCAGCAACACACTTTCTCAATCTTTTTTCATCCTTTTTTGAGTTTCTGGACCCAGACGGGAGCCTATTATCCACAGAGAACATGCAAACACTGGGAGTCGAACCCCAGATTGGATTTACACAGAAGGGGTGTTGGAGTAACTAATGGTTTAATACTGATTTAGTCCTGGTTTAGTCCAGGTTTAATCCTTATTTAATCCTGATTTAGTCTTGGTTTAGTCCAGGTTTAATCCTTATTTCAATCCTGATTTAGTCCTGGTTTAGTTTTGGTTTAGTCCTGATTTAGTCCTAGTTTAGTACTGATTTAATCCTGGTTTAGTCCTTATTTAATCTTGATTTAGTCCCAGTTTAGTCCTTATTTAATCCTGATTTAGTCTTGGTTTAGTCCTGATTTAGTCCTGGTTTAGTCCTTATTTAATCCTGATTTAGTCCTGGTTTAGTTCTGGTTTAGTCCAAGTTTTTGTTTCCTTTTGGCTTATGTCCTGGTTCAAACACTGGTACAGTCCTGGTTTATCTTTTTCTTCTTTTTTTTTCTTCTTATATATGTACACAGCTAAAAGTGGAGTGTTAAAATTGACTCTCACAGAATCAATTTGAACATTTTCTCAGGGTTTATATGAGTCAAATTTGTTCTAGAATTAATTTATCATTTTTTGGAAATGTTAATTAAGTAACACTGGACCAAAGTTCCTGTTTAACCCTGAAATCAACATGTATTAGGTGTTTTATTTTTACACTTTATTTTAGTTTATTTAAGATGAAATTATGAACAAAACTGGTTCAAACTGGTCTTCTCTTTCTTCTCTTGAAATTTTAACACTCCAGGTTTTGCTGTGTGAATGGAAAGCTGGTAGGACTCTTGGATTGTGGTTTAATCCTGGTTTAGTCCTGATTCAGGCTTTAGTTTAGTCCTGGTGATTAACAGTGCACTTGGGCCTTTCATTTTTGATCCTTTTTTGAGTTTCTGGATCCAGACGGGAGCCTAGTATCCACAGAGAACACCAAACACTGGGAGTAAAACCCCAGACTGGATTTACATGAAAGAGATGTTGGAGTAACTAATGGTTTAATACTGAGTTAGTCCTGGTTCAGACACTGGAAAAAGTCCTAGTTTATCTTTTTCTCTTTTTTTTCTTCTTGCTTCTTTTATGTGAATGGAAAACTGGTGGGACTATTGGATTGTGGTTTAATCCTGATTTAGTCCTGGTTGAGAGACTGGTTTAGTCCTGATGACGAACAGTGCACTTTCCCCTTTAATTTTTATCCTACCTTGAGTTTCTGGTCCTAGAGAGTATCCACAGACAGTGTTGGGAGTAACACATTATAAAAGTAACAAATTACTGTCATGTGTTGCTTTTTGCTGTAACACAGTAATGTAAGGCATTATATGGAAAAAAAAAGTGGTAATATTTTACTCGGTACAAATGTCAGTAACCTGTATTACAATGCTTTTTTAAAGTGGATTCAAGTGGTGGGTTTTTTGTTTTTCCTCATACAAATTTGCTAAAATCATGCGAAAGGACCAGCGCAGAACTCCGCGCTCGATGGAGCTAAACGCAGCTGACGCCCGATCGTGCTCGGAGGTTCTCTCAGGGGCGGTCCGAGATTCCAAGTTCTAGTCCAAGATTAGTCCTGGTTTGGTCCTGGTTTAAACATGGTTTAGTCTTGGTTTAGACTGGGTTTAGTCCTGGTTCAGTCCTCCTGGTTCAGTCCATGGTTAAGTCCTGGTTTAGTCTTGGTTCAGTCCATATACGGTGCAAAAGTTCAACATCTTCGCAGTTATTTTGGTGAGAGTCACTTAAAAGTGCTGTACCTTACATTTTAAATACAGTAATATTGTAAAGTAACTAATGACTTTGAAATGACAGTAACAAGTCATAAACAACACATTACAGTTTTAAAGTAACTTGCCCAACAGTGTGTCCACAGAGAACATGTAAACAGTGGGAGTTGAACCCTAGACCACTGTGCCGCTGTGCTGCCTGTCACTCTCAAACATTCACATATGAAACATTTCAATATCAGCATCGTTTTTCTATACCATTGCACGAAAAGCAGTTGCACTTTATTAACTAACAACATATTCATATGGAAGTTGTATGAAGTCAATTGCTCAGGGACACAACAACAAAGTACTGGTCTGAGTTTGAATAGAACCAAACTGTTAAAGAATGAGTTAATCCTCAAAGTGTTTCCATGCATTTTCAGGTAGAACTGCTTTAAAAAAGTACATTTGTCTTAAATTCAGTGTATTTGTGTGTTTCAGATTACTCTCCAATCTGCCCTCCCTGTGACAATGAGATGAAAGCAGACACCATTCTGGAACATATGTGTGCCAGTGAATTCGGTGAGTACACACACACAATATTACCACCTAACAAGTTGTATTAACTCTTTCCCCCACGAAGACGACATTTGACGACCCCTCTTGTTTCCTTTATAACGTCTTTTGACTCCTCCGCTGTTTCACTAAAGACCATTAGAAACGGCTCGGTTTTTTCACCTGTAATCAGAGGCTGTGATAGGTGGGGGCCACTACAACCCACACTAGGCTGACCAATAGGATTCAAGGATATGTTTTCACAGATTTTTTTCCAAAGTTAATCGAAGTTGATGATTGTAGCTTCCAGAAAAAACACAACACGAAACACGAGCAATGGAAAGATTGTGGCGCACAGTTTTAGAAATAATGAGGAGCAGGCGTATTTTATGGATAAGTTTAGAGAAAGTGACTTTTATAGATTTCAAAGTGATGATGAAGTTGATTATAAAGTGGAAAAAGAGCGATAGTGACGGACTTACAGAGAGTGAATCTTACGAAGGTGAGAATGCCGCTGATGAGTCTGTGTGGAGTCCTGCGATATCCCAACAAACTATCGGGGACTTTATACTCGATTATGTACTAAAATTGAAATCTGGATGTTGCTCAGGCCAGTCCTTTAAAATATTTCAGTCTTTTTGTGATGTGATGTGATGAATGACAGAATTGCTACAGAAACAAACGCTTATGCGGAGCTCTGCACACGAGAAAGTAACCAAGATGATAAATACTGAACACCCACTGACGGGGAAGAGTTTTATTATTATATTATAATAAGCTAAATGAGTTGAATAAGTTAAATGGAAAAAATGAATTAGGTCCACACTAGGGATGCGCATTTGATGAAATGTTCTTAATTAAATTTATCATCATTATTATTACTATCTGCACTACTAATCTGCATAAATAAATTCAACTTTACGACATATAAACGACTCTAGAGCCACATCAGCCCGTTTGACATTATAATGTGTTTAATTCAGTTTTGTGCAACTCTCACAGAAACAAAACTTAAAACCACATCGCTAATTTGCATAAACTAAACGAAGATAAAACTCCAGCTCTTGTGTCACTGATGCGGTTCAATTTCTGTTGGATTAAAAGACATGACTCAGGTGAATACAGGTTAGTGTGACCAGATTTGTGTTTGTTAAAACCAGGACAGCGTACGGGGGGAGGGAGGCGGGGACTCGTCATCGACATTGAGCGACTCTCACCTGGCAAAACTTTTTCCCACTGAACACAGAAACATATGTGCTGCTTTGTACACTGTGCACATGGACTCACACTTGTCCCGAACGCAACAGAAAGTGTGGAATTTCTTGTACAAGTCATCGTTAAATACACATTTGTGCTTTGGTACGTTGCAGTGACCGACTGTTTCTGAGTGCAGAGACACATGTACACACCTGTTTGGTCACGCTACACACAGCTACCTACATTCGGTTTGTTGATTAAAATCAATGTAATCTATGAAATTCTTAATGATCAATTATAGATTAATCGATTCATCATGCCCATCCCTAGTTCACACAGGTGAACAACAGGTAAACACAGGTGAACACTTGGCTACACTGTATCTGGTGATATGAAATCTGTTTAAATACTTTGACAAAGTATATTTTTAATTTTTTTATGAATACAGTACTCAAAACATGCATGTATCAGATGCTGAATATAGTTTTTTGTTTTCGATTTTGCACCTGACCAGGTAAACTCTCATTTTCAGTGAGCTGTTATAAACCTGTAAATGAGTTGAATCACATTTAAACATCCAGAAATGAAGAGTTCAGAGTCTGAGGTTTCCAGAGATACAAATATGTCTGTGTTTCAATTAAGTTCATGAGTGTAAAAATCATTTATAATCACTCGTGGAAGTCTGTTTTCTTTTATGCAATTATGTTCTAAGGGCAGCCCTAGTCTTATATGTATGGGTTGTTCCTAGTGGGCGTCCAGGGGGGAAAGAGTTAAGGGACATCGCCCAACTCTCATGTAAACCCTCCACGTTCAGTCCATCTTTCTCTCTTCAGAGCTCAAAAAAAAAAAAAAAAAAGCGTGAAAAACATACATTACTGCAGTTGGGATCACCTCCACAAAAAACCCGCCACCACAAAAGTTACACAGGATTGCTTTTTTTATTTTTACGTCACCAAAATTCCCTTCTTTCTCTGTTGATTCCGTTTAGATTTTGCAAGCTACAGAACAGAATCGTCGTTTTTTTCTTCGAGCGCGTACGTTTCGAGGCCTGCCCGAGTCCTCTCTTTCAGATAAGCGTGATTGATGACGCCGTTCTCCTCTCTCTGACCATATAAGGCCTTTTCGCAGACGCAGATTTCCTCTCATCTTTATCTGCTGCCGAGTGGATGATCTCTGCGCAGTGTTTATGTGATGCCTTCTTGTCTGGTCCACCCCGTTGGCGACTTTGTCCGGAGAGGAGGTCCAGGTTTTGATTTGGTGTTGGTGAGAGTTGGAGGAGTCGGTGAAAAATGAATCACGATTGAAACTTTGAACAGAAAAACTGTAAATACATTTTTCCCCAAATCCTTTCAGCCCCAGTTGGAGTCTTGTTTAAGTTCACGTTCTGATTTTGACTGGACTGGACTTGTGAGCTTTTTCAAATTCTGGTTTACTTTGGTTTCAGGTTTAGGGTCATGCATGACTAAGGAATCTAGGTTTGATCCCGGATTAGTCCTGGTTTTGTCAGTTTTGTTTACAGTGAGGTTTTGGTGGGAGTTGGACTAATAACTAAAGTCCTGATTTAGTTCTAGTTTAGTTCTGATTTGTTACCAGATTAATCCTGGTTTCTTCAAGGTTCAAATCCTGGTTCAGGCCCTGGTTTTAAAGTCCTGTTTTTAGATTTACACAGAAGGGAGTGTTAATGGTTGTAACTAATGGTTTAATCCTGGCTTAGTCCTAGTTTAGTCCTGGTTTATGTCCCTGTTTCCTCTTGGTTTATGGTGCAGTCCTGGTTTTTCTTAGTTTTATGCAAAGGGACGGCTAGTGGGACTAATGGGTTGTGGTTTAATCCTGGTTTAGTCTTGGTTTAAGTCCTGGCTTAAATCCTAGTCTTAGTACAGGTCCTGGTTTGTTTCTGGTTTTAATACTTCTTTCTTTGTGGTTTAGTCCTGGTTTAGTCTTGGGTTATGGCTTGGCTCAGGCCCTAGTTCAGACCCTGATTCAGTCCCTGGTTTAGACCCAGTTTAGACCTGTTTTAGTCCTGGTTTATGGCTTGGTTCAGGCCCTGGTTCAGACCCTGGTTTTGTCTTGGTTTTAGTCTGGTTTAAGTTCTAGTCTTGGCTTCAGGTCCTGGTTTATTCCTGGTTTTAGTACTTCTTTTTTTGTGGTTTAGTCCTGGTTTAGTCCAGGTTTATGGCTTGGTTCAGGCCCTGGTTCAGACCTTGGTTCAGACCATGGTGTAGTCCTGGTTTTAGTAGTTCTATCTTTGTGGTTTAGTCCTGATTTAGTCCAGGTTTACTCCTGTTTCATGGCTTGGTTTAGACTCTAGTTCAGATTCTGGTTCAGTCCCTGGTTTAGACTTGGTTTAGACCTGGTTTAGTCCTGGTTTATGGCTTGGTCCAGGCCCTGGTTCAGACCCTGGTTCAAACCCTGGTTTAGTCCTGGTTTAGTCCTGGTTTAGTCCTGGTTTAGTCCTGGTTTAGTCCTGGTTTAGTCCTGGCTCGTTTGACTTTTACGCAGAGGGAGGGTTGCTGGGACTAATGAATGGGGCTGTTAAAGTGTTTAGTGGCCGCTCTTTAAAGCTGTAAATGGTTGTTTGTTGTGGTGTCTGGAGTGAACCCTGCAGTTGTTTCTACAGGGACTGGAACTACAACAACAACAACTACTACTACTACTACTACTACTACTACAACTACTGCTGCTCCTACTACTACTTTTAATGCTTTAGCAACTATTATTGGCTCTACTAAAACTTAAACAACTAGTACTACAACTACTCCTACTTCTGCTGCCACTACTATGCTATTGCAACTACAAATACTACTACTCCTGCTGCTACCTCTATTACTCCTTTAGTATTCACTACCAATACTTGTGCTTTGTCTACTTCCTCTAGAAACACTACTAATGAAACAATGACTGTACTGTGAATACTATGACTATCACTATATGTACTAATATTTTAAAGATTCTATTACTACTACTAGTGCTACTACTTTGTTTTTGTTCCCCCAGTACAGATATGCTGTAGAAGAATAACTTGGGACCATAATGTTGTTTCCTCATCACAAACAGATCTGGAGTAGTGTTTTGTTTCATTCACACATGTTTAACACACAAACCCTGCATATTTGGTTAGTTCCCTCAAGCAGACAACACTCTGTTCAGGAAGTGCTCCACTGTGTTTTCACCTTCACTAGAGTCATTTGGATGATTTCAGCGCCGGAATTGCCGATTTCTACTAAACAATAGATAAAAGAGCTCGAAAACTACAGCCTCGTGACGTCGAAGGTTTGGGTGACCAGACGTCCCTGTTTACCCGGGACAGTCCAAGTTTTGAGCTCTGTGTCCACTGTCCCTGCAGATTTATACAAAACCACTAATTTGACCCAGTTTTATTCAAGAAATGTCCCTATGTATTTGATACCTGCCAACAGTAAAGAGAGGCATACATTGTTAAAATACAGAATAAGCTGCTTAAAAACGACCAAAACGCAGAGAAAATGTGACTATATTGACTCAGGTGTTTGTCATGAATGGTCTCTGCTTAACAATTTTCCTTAATTATGCACTCGATTAACAATTTTATCATTACCAATGACCAAAAAAGACAGGGATGTCCCAGTTTTTTATTTTGAAAATCTGGTCACCCTAAACAAGGTGGAACAGAGCATTTTGAGTTTTGCAGATGTAGATAAAGTACCGTATTTTTTCGGACTATAAGGTTTGGGTGACTAGACGTCCCTGTTTACATGTTACCTGTTGACAGTCCCAAGTTTTGAGCTCTGTGTCCCGTCCCTGCAGATTTATACAAAACTATTGATTTGCCCCAGTTTATTGAAGAAATGTCC